GCGTGAACAATTTCAATTGAATGCCCCTCTCCTCATTTCATGTCATAAAAAGAGAACTAGCACCACTTTGGCAATGGAAGGAGCATAACTACAAACTAGAGATAGACCATACATTTCGCAATATGCACCTTATGTCCACATTTTAATTGTATTACTAAATCTTAACTTATAATACTACGATCAACTATTTAAATTATACTCAACCAAGTACGATATAGATAACTCAAACCGTAGCATATTGATTATACTCTATCCCTAAGAAGTTGTGTCATTTGACATTTTCCAAGCATGTACTAAGCCAAGCTTTTCTTCTCCTTTCCTCCATTCCAGAATATCCAAAGTACGCCAACCTTCCAGCATAACAATGCAAACCAATTATCGCATATAAGGCTCTCCGTTATGAAATAAGTATATTTATGGTAATCAGATTACTAACACCATGTATTAAGACTCATGCACAAACAAATTAGTGCTCAAAGCAAAATCTTACAAAAAAAGAAGGTGCAAAATTTAGCGTTTGCTTGTTTATGGATTAATTTACTCACTTTTATTTCAACTCAAAATTTAACTCAACTTTAACTCAACCCCACTATCTTTAATATTATTCATATAATTGAATAATACAAACCAATCATTCTTACACATCACATCAACTTTAATTCACTATTCATCCACTCACATATTTTTAACTACCTATCATTTCCAATCATTTATCTCTTACTTTTACATCAAATCAATTTTAATCATTTTATTATAAATATTATTTTAATACATTATTAAAATTCCACTAACAACTAACCATACTACCTTTTCAAAATTAACTATAGTTAACCAAAATAACTCACTTTGAACAAATTATTTCATAAACAATCAAGCTCTTATTATACATTATTTCATGTTTCATGAATAATGTCTAGAAGTTTTCTTTTAGTGGTATCAATCCTGCCCTCCAGTGAAGATTACTAGAACGATGTATTAATTATTAAATAACGTCTCTCTTAACACACAAATAATAGATGAAAATTCAGAAGCAAATGGAAGTCTTTGGAAATAGTATGGAGCACTCATTATCCTGTGAAGTTAATTCAAGGAGGAGTCAAATTTTCTGATATTTCATTATTTGGCAAGGCCGAGTTGAATGGTCAACAGTTAACATTAAATTATGGAAAAAAGTAGAGTATCTTGGGAGCCCTCCGCTGCGCTTATAAGCTTCTTTAGACATAGTGATAAAAACTCCAAAATCATTTTATAAAAAGTCGAAGATGTTTAATTAACTTAAGTAAATGCCTTCTTCTATCATGCTAAATCACTGTACCTAGTTAAAATACAACAGCATTAAAAATTTCATGAGATTAAAATCTAGACACCAGAAAATTTGATGTTAAGACTATCTTCTCTATCTCACATTGTCGATTCAAGATTCTTGAGAAGTACCTTGTCTGATATTAGGCCACGAGAGTTGAAATAGCTTGATGATGGTATCTGAGGACATGGAGCACCTTGAACCATATGTTCAAGATGAGGTCCGCAGGAGCCATCAACTTTGGCATATCCACCAAACTGTGAGTTGTTCTCGAAACCAACCATAAAGTCTTGGCCAGAAGTTCCTCTGGTTCCATTCCAGTCCCCTTCAGGGTTAGGCACATGAAGACTAGTTTGATGTTCATTTGTTCTGTAGTTGAAGCATGAAGGGGGCAAACCAATTTCAAAAGGGCTAGCTTCTTTCAGATAACCATGTGCAAATGTTTTATCTATAACAGACTGAAATTTTGCACCATCTTCCACTTGATTATATTCTCTGCAGGGTTCCATATGAAGATTAACAAATGAAAGGCTTAGCTCAGTTTTCTCAGTGGTTTCAGTATCAATGAGTTTAGATGGGCTACTTGGGGTAGTAGCATAAATCTTATCCAACGCATAAGCCTCATTCGAAATTTCTAAAACACCAGAGCCACCAAGTTCCATACCCTTAGTTAGCTCCTTGTTGGGTTCATATGAGCCATCATCGAAAATTCTAGTCATCCTATCTTCGGTAAGAAATTGTTCATCAGCTGCAGAAGTGAAATCCGAGTAGACTCCGATTCCCTTATCTTGCACAGATCCTGTAACTGAACTGTAATTCAAACCAGCACAAGTCCTACTGAAAGCTTCAGTTGACTCACTGTCTGCAAAATTCTGAAGGTTGTCGAATTTAGGTGACTCCATCTTTCTTTCACAAACTTCATCTTTGTCATTTGCGTTACCACACAGATCTTCCTGAACAGACAAAGCAACATGCATGCTTGTAGATGTGCTCTGCGGCCCAGTCTCTATTAGAAGAGAACCAAGTGCCTTCGGGTCATCTTTCACGGACACGTTTTCTTTCTTGTCACAAGGCCAAACGACTGAACTATTTACATGCTGCATCTCAATGGGGCTGCTTACGTCATCATTACCTTCTAACATAGTACCATTCTGACATTTCCCCAAATCAAGTGTTTCATCAACACTGGGGATGTCATCACCAACACGTGCTTTCTCATAAACCATGGTTAGTTTGCTGACTTCAGGATTTACAGTAAGTATAGATGTCATTGGTTCAGAGGTTGATGTGTTTTCGGCATTACCATCACAAGTCAAGTATCCAAAATCACTATGCTGCTGTGAACTAACGAGTAGGCCTTTGTCCTGGTCAACATGACTTCCAAACGAATCAAATACAGAACCATTATCCACAAAATCCTCACGATCAAGTTTTAGCTCATCCGTTGTCTGACAGTTACGGTCAATATTTCCAACATCACATTTTTCCGCAGGATAACTTGAATCTGGAACTGAACATGTATTTGTTTCAGAAACTACACCGGCAGACTCATTAGCAGCTCTCATGTTGCCATTAACTTCATTTTCTCCATGCCCATTATGTTTATTGCAAGGTGAGCACATGTCCAATGCATTATTACTGACGACAGCATTATCAGATTTTATTGACTCTTCCATCGTAGTCTCTCGAACTTGTGAACTGCCAAATGAACTAGGATCAACAGCCTCTGGGTGTGATTCTCCAGCAGTCTTCGCTTGGTATCTCACATGGGCAGCACCAACATGACCATTATACCGACGCCTCTCGGGAAATATCTTATGACAGAATTGGCACTCGTATTTCCCGTCCTTGATTATCACCCCATCGGTAATGCGCACAGAATTTTTGTATCTGTTTCTTGAGTGAACAGATGATTCATGTCGCAATAATTCATCGCTCCCCTTGAAATTTTCATTGCACTTGTTGCAATGTAAAATTTCTTCTACACTGCTCTCCAACAAAACTCCAGCACCAATTTCAACATGTATCTCATGATTACTGGAAGCGGAACCGAGAGTGGGAGATGGAACCTGGGAAGTTGGGTTATCCTTTACACCGCCATCACGAATAGTAGTATCTGAAATCTGTAACATTTACGCAGTCGATAAAAATCTACATATTTGAAAAGAACTAATGACTGGACTTACATAAATCAACATCAAAAGCAAGCGAACTTACAGCACGAGAAGTCAATTTATCATCACTGTCAATCTCATTATACTGGATAGAGTTATGTGTGGCTGTATCTTGGACACCTTGAAGAGAGAGTAGATACGAAGAAACTTCCTTGCAAGACACAAAATGCAGTCCACTGGGGCTGAAATGAGCAAAAATGGAATCAACATATTAATCACAACATCAACATGATTGAGCCCGCTATATCAGCACAACGAGTCACATTCTCGAAGCAAAAAGTAGAAACTACAAACTAGAGTCTAGAACTGTTAGGTTTAAAGGATCCGGAAAAAACAAAATACATAATTTTATTGATGAAATATCAATAGGGATGACCAAGATTTGCGTAACTTTTCCAGCAGAAATCTTGTGAGTCTGCCCAATAGCCAATGCTATTACAAAATGCATCTCTCTCCATATAATAACAATTGTATTTTATATATTAAACTATATATAATATAAAATGGTAATAAGAAATATAAGGCGTAGGAAAATAATAGCATGTAACGAACAAGATTGACATAACTTCTCCCGCAGCAATCTTCCCAGTATACCCAATATAGAATGCTAAAAAAAATATCTCCATACTATCTTATTGACAAGTGTATCTTATATACTAAACTATAGCTAATATAAAATGGTAACTAAGGGCTACGAAAAAAATAGCATGTACGGAATAATAAACAAGTCAAAATCCATAATATTAAGCACCAATTAAGGCCCCCAAAATCAGCATTAAATATTCTAAGATTGATATCCTTTGATTATTGTATCTTTATTACAGCCGCCTCCCAGAAAACAGCCTGGAGAGAAAGACTGCAGAGAAAAAAGTTCTGAGTGAACGGCAAAGCTATATGATTCTTGTAAAAAAGACCACCATTGACTATTGCATAGGGGCCAAAATTGTCATAATGCAGGTTTGGAATCATGAATTATCCACCTCCCTCCTTTGGAAAAGAGAAGGTATTTGCAATGGAATTTTCAGCCTTGATAGCATATAAATGCAAGGGTACAACCCAGCAACAAGGAAATCTTCACACTAAAATATTCCGAATGCGGGCACCTTGGAAATTTTGTAATACTGCGAAACCGATTGCACTAGAACCAGTGGAACAGTGGAAGTAGAGTTAGTTGACTTGCAGCTACTCAAATTTTTACATGTTGGCATGGTGGTGATTCAAGAGAACCGAGGATGTGGAATTCACAGTAGACAGGTCGTTGACATTATTGAGGTCTCGTAGGCTTCAATGTTGAGCTCATAGTTTTAAATAGCGATGCCATGGAATGAGCAACAGAGACGGGTGTAAAATTGCCTCTCCCCAGCCTGAGGCAGCACTGTAAGCGGCCGCCTCACAGCACCTTTCCTCTTGCCACAGGCGATGAAGAGGCGCGCCATGCTCATGAGCCTCCAGTTTTAGTATCGTGAAAATTTCAAACTGCCTCGAGATTTGGTCTCGCGGCCAGGCCATGTCCAAAAAGCCTCGCCATTCGCCATTTTTAGAACTACGGTTCTCAACAAAAATCTGCCTAGCAAGAATACTTGCCCAATAGCCAATGATATTACAAAATACATCTCCCCATATTACATTATCGACAACCCTATTTTATATACTAAAAGCTAAATACAAAATGATAATAAATAATATATACGCTTAGCAAATAATTGCATATAAGGAATAATAAATCAGTCAAAATCCATAAACTTAAGCATTTATTAAGGTCCTCAAAAATCAGCATAAAATATTCTAAGATTGATATCCTTTTATTCTTCCATATATAGAAAAAACAATGTTATCAAATCTTTGCCATGGCGGTATGACGTGGTGGATTTCGAAATTCGTGAAGGATGGCTGTTA